ATATTTTCAGGTGTGGCCTGTCACGTTCTTTTAGGGACTTAGGCACTTTTTGCTTAGGCCAAAGTGCGCGTGATCAAGTGCCCAATACCTTAAAATCCTTTTATACCGCAGTTACTCAACTTTTTAGGAGTTGGTACAATGCATCTTAAAAGGTGTCAAACAGTAAAGCTTTATATAGCTGCCCCGCTGACTTTTTAATATAGTCATGGTGCTGTTTGGGTTTTTAAGCAATTGATTGGATACAATATCGTTGCTTTTTGCCACGTAAGTGTGCATTTTTATTGACCAATATTATGGCTTAGGCTGATTATATATTGTGGTCATTTTTCAGGCGGTTGGTAAATCCTTTATGAGTTTATTTACTCGGATTTTATACCACATATGCCATATATTTCCAGGTGTGGTGGAACCATGTGTCTTCTAGGGACTTAAGCACATCTGTTAAAGCAGTGTGCGCATGGCGTATGCCCAATACTTTGGAAATTTCTTTATTCACAACATACAAGCTTCTTTATAGCTGTTTTGCTATGTGAATTTTCAATGATGTAACCAACTTTAGGTTACACTCATCATATTTTACAAAGCAGTCGGTATATCACTCGGATCATGTTATTCAGGGATTCACACCGCATATGCTACATATTAATATCAGGTCGCTTGGTTGACTATAATTATTAAAACCACTCGGTTGGTTGGATTATTTATTCCTTGACTATATGCTTGGTTTGTTCAATTAACCACATAGTCGGGGGCTACACCTATTAGGTGCATCCAGTCGATGCACCTGACTTTATTTTTCAGCCCTCCACAGTCTTCGTATTTGGTAAAAGTACTTCGGAGACCATGGCGAAGATGATTGAAGCACTCAGCTTTGGAGTAATCTAGTTCGAGAGAAGATTATCTTTTCGACTGTGAAGGTCTCAGGGGCTACTGTGGAGATTATGGGTACCCCATACCTACATGGCATAGTTATCCGACTGGCTATAGGGGATAACTTATATCTATGGAATATGTAACAGATCATGACTTGGGTATTACGTTTCCTTGTATATTATGGAACGGCCTAAAGTCCTGGTTTGATAAGATTGTAAAGTAGATTTAGGAAACCGATACCGTATTGGTTAAGATTTCTATCTTGTAACCCTGCCCCCCAACCTATATAAGGAGGGCAGGGAGCCCCTCTAGGGGCATGAGACAACCTGATCGTCAGATCAATACACACTCGGCGGATTCAAATCCCCAAACAGGAGTAGGGTATTACCTCTCATTGAGAGGGCCTGAACCTGTCTAAATCCTTTGTCTCCGCATCCATCCACTTTTAGGTCTCGTGCGCTACCCCCTTTTATTATTGCCGAAATCATGTTTCGACACATTCGTAAGCGCACGGAATACCGTTGTAACACTTCACCTTTGGGTGACCCCAAAATGATATCGAACTCAGGGAACGTGTGAAATCTACCTAAGGCTAAGACTATCTAAGGACAACAACTGATGGTAGGTAGGCTAGGCTAGAGAGTACTTTCTATATGTTTTAGTTAACTAAGTTAAGCAAAGATAATTTTCTATCTATTGCTTCGGGCACCGATCCCTGCTGGTCCGCTAGCATGGTTCTGGCTATAGCTTTATGATGTATCCGAACATGGATGATTACTAGGACGAGATTCAGGGCTGTCACCACCTCTCGCCTACCTCTGACAAATCCGTGGGATACATAACAAATAAAGGTAATCTCTAATCTAGACACCACGTCTATGTTATTAATTAGTACTCTAATACTTGTGCAGGAACTTCCTTCTCTATCCGGAGTCCTAGTACTAGAGCACTTAGTATGAATACTAAACAATGAACCCGCAAAGATAGAAATACATCTTACTTAGACTAAATAATTAAATAACATAAAAAAGGAGCACGGATGCTTACTTTATAGAAGAAGTTCTCCGAATCCGGAGCAGAATGTACCGACAGCTCTGGAACTCCTCCCGAATTCCTCTTATGAAGCTACACTCGTTAAGGTAGAAGTCGGATGAGCACCAACTTCCGGGCACTCCTCCAGAGTTTCCCCTCACTCTCTACCTTATTCTAATGTACAAAAGATACAATAGAGCCTTTTATAATTCAGCTCAAAGTTGTGTGTTGTGAATGAATAAGAGGAGCTCTATTTATAGCCTCCATATGACTGTTACAGGTATGGGAAACAACCAAACTACCCTCTAACCGTCATTGGGATGAAATCAAGACCATCCACGTTTAATCTGGCGATCAACGGCCATAGAACGGGTTCGGCCAAACCAGAAAACCCTCCTCTCGGCTGCCTCTTCGCCCGGGAGGTAGCTTAACGGGCTCCCGACATCATATACTATGTTTTGGCCGAATTCTAAATGATTTTCACTGATTTATTGGGCCTCCAATCCGTGTAAACGTATCCTGAATGCGCGGAGGTACATTTTGTCGCATGACGGATGTGTTTTCTCCTCAAATTACCTGCATACACATATTTTACCAACACTAATGGAAATGATTAGTAATAATCCCTACAACTAAGTTGGATACCATGTTTTATTTCATTATATGCAGATATTAACGGTCAAATATTATAATTTAAGGACTGTCAACAACCACTGCTCTTCTTCTATATACTTTCTCCGTCCAAAAATACCTAGCCTATGATGGGATGGGAAATATTATAGTACAATGCATCTAGACAGGTTGGGTTTTTTTGGGACAGAGGAAGTAGTTGATAATATTAACCTACGTCATTTCAACAGTGACTACCAACAACTTTTAACTATTAATTATTAGATTTAATGATACAAAATGGTATGATTAGAACATCTAGCATTCTCGTAAGATACTTTGATGATATATTGTCAAATATTCACGAAGCTATATACTAAAATAAACACGGTCAAAGTTTGAATATCAAAAAAAAAATATCAGTGACATGTAATTGGAAATACAGAGAATGCCATCTTTTTATCTGATGATAGAGTTATAAACACGCTTGTACGCTTTTAATATAAATTTAATACTACCTCTATTTTTTTATACACCATTAATTTTTCACATAAACCGTTCATCTTATTTAAAAATTTAGATAAAAGTGTAAGTTAAGAATATAGTCTTTATGATAAACAAGTCACAACAAAATAAATAACATATATACATATTTTTTAAATAGACGAATGGTGAAACAATACGTTAAAAATCAACAACGTCATATAAAAAATGGAGTGAATTTTACGGATTCACACTCATTGATATACAAGTAGAATGGAGTGTGTGCTCGTTTTGTGTTTATATGTATAAACTGGCATGATGGCCTTGCGTGGCAACGTTGCTTTTTCTAAGTATCCCTCTAATACGGAAAGGCTAACGGGTGATCGATCGCTACCAGCGATCTTTTTTTTTTCTTTTCCTCTTACTATTTATACACCTAAAATTTACACATATAAAGTTTATCCACCTAAAGTTTGTAGAGCGAATGTTTATAAGTCAAAAGTTTATATACCCGATTCAAATTCAAATTCGAATTCAAATATTTTATATTTTCCTCTTTTAGTAAGTTTATACACCTAAAGTTTACATATATAAAGTTTATCCACCTAAAGTTTGTAGAACGAATGTTTATAAGTCAAAAGTTTATATACCCGATTCAAATTTAAATATTTTATATTTTCCTCTTTTAGTAAGTTTATACACCTAAAGTTTACACATCTAAAATTTATCCACCTAAAGTTTGTAGAAGCGAATGTTTATAAGTCAAAAATTTATATACCCGATTCAAATTCAAATTCGGATGAAGTCTATGCGTATAAAGTTTATGCGTGCAAAGTTTACGGTATAAAGTCTATGCACATGAATAAGAGTATTAGATTTTTTTCCTAATTTTCTTTTACTATTCTTTTTTGAAGTTTATGATGTACTGCATCCGTTTCAGGTTATAAGACTTTCTAGCATTGCTCACATTCATATAGGATTTAATGAAGCTAGAAAGTCTTATAATATAAAATGGAGGAAGTAATAGAAAAGTAAAAAAGAGAGAGATGAAAAATGAGTATTAGGGGGAGGGACGAGTGATCGCTAGGAGGAGAGGGAAGCGATCATCCGCCCATTAGCAACCCCCTATCTAATATGCTATCATTGTGCTCATTTTACTACGCTTTCACAAAGATGAAAAAATCCACAATATTCTATTGTCATATTTTTCTTTTGACAAGGTCTATGGCATGTGGGGTCTAGAAAACAAGTAAAGTTTTGGTCTCATGGTTCATGGGTCCCACATGGTAGCTATACAGGGTCCAAAAGTCAATGGTTCTAGCTATACAGCGTCCAAATGTCAAGGCAGCCTCACCGCCACTACTATAAGGAACGTTTAAAAGAGTATAAAGATTTTTTTTTGTTTGAAACAAAAGAGTATAAAGATTTAGTATGGGGCCACCTATTCTGCAGTCGATTGCAATTTTTTCATTTGATCAGTCAACTTTGTGCACCATTAGATATGTATCTAACGGTAAACCTCAAAAAATCAACACGTGACGTGCAAAAACAATCAAAACCTGATGCAGATGTTTGGGCCCAAAAACTAACAAAAAGCCCAAAGCCCAAAGTTGTTTAAAACACACTTTTGGGTCCAAAAAGCCCAATGTTTGGGCCCAGTTTTTTGGGCTGTGTTATGGGCCAGCGAAAGTGTGGGCCCAAGTCTTTTTTGGGCTGTAGTTCAGTGAGTCTGGATTTTCAGTTTTTTAGCTGTGATTTGGGCTTTTTTCAACAAAACAAATGGGCTCTCACATGATACCCGTTTTTGGGCTTTTTAGCTCTGATTTGGGTTCTGTCACAAAAATGGTCCACTCCCTGGGTCTCTTAAAAAAAATGTCTTGTGCTCCAAGATAGAAACTCAGATCCAAAAGAAAAATGAGAGGAGAGATCGAAACTCAGATTGGAAAAGCAAAAAAGGAGAGAGGAGAGAAAGAACATGAAAAAGGAGAAGAACGTGTGCTGGGATGGACAGGAAGAACCTGAGAAAATTTTACTTAATGGAGGTTTTTCTCTTTGCTCTTTGTTCCCACCTCCCTCCTTTTCACCTCTTCCTCCCATCTTTTGATTTTTTTTTTTTTGCTTTTCTTCCCTTTCCACCACCCCCTTCCTCTGAAGAACAACATGTGTTGAGGAAAGAACATGAAGAACTTGGGGGAAAATTTACTTGATGGAGGGTTCTTTTGTTCTTTGCTCCCCCTCTCTAGTTTAACCTCTTCTTCCTTTCTGTTTTTTTTTTTTTGCTTTTCTTCCCTTTCCACTATCCCTGAGTTTTCTGCTGCTTCCCTGCACAAAACTTTATTATATAAAAACTCATAAGCAACACAACATTAATCTGGTCTATTTTTTTCATGTGGTTGTAATGCAAAAATACTGCAAAAAAAACTGCTCTCAACTATAGCAAATCTTGTGCAGAGTGTCTGCTTTTCCTTATGCCCAACTGGGTGACTGAATTTCTAAATTGTGCACAACTCAGAAATATCTTGATTCGCTAACTGTTAAAACTGCACATTTGTTCTCTTGTAGTCATTCTTTGAATCATGGGAGCTCTCAGTTTATGCAAATGCCATTACATTGTACAGAAAAAAAGGATGTAATGCCATTTTTTTCATCTATCCAAATGTGCAGGGCACAGAGGCAGAATCAAATGAAGACTATGGGATGTTATTCAGATTATCACAGGAGGGAGGCATCACCTATACAAATTTAATCCAGCAAGTCTCTGTCTCACCTAATGCAAATCTTGCTGGTGCTGAGGTGGCAGTGAGTAGAAAAAATAAAACACATATTAAATGAAATATTTAACTAAAACTTTATGTGCACAGTCATAACTCCCACACTGTCTTTTTTTTTTTTTGCAAAACAGGGTGGTCTTCCTCTGCTCCAAAACACTTATGGTAGTTTCATGCAGCTATTGCAAGCTCCTATTGAATCAGAGGTGTGTTCCCTTTTGTTTATTTGATTTGTGTTGTGCCATCCCATTATTTGATTAAAAAACATATTCATGATTGGTGTGGATATAGCTAATCTGGTTAAAAAGTTCAAATCAAAATAGAACTATAAAAAAGATCTCTTTATTAGAATTTTTTTTCTTACCACTGCAGAGTGCTCTATATTTGACATCCAATAGATTTGAGTATGACAACACCTTTTGGGGTTTTGATCCTCACAATGGTTATCAACAAAATGACCTGCAAAATGCACAAACAGACACCTCTCAGATGTGCAACTCTTTGCCACAAAGTGTAGCTGTGCATCCTCCTGTGGCATCACTGGACATGCTATATAATGAAATGCAGAAATCAAGCGCTGATATTGATAATCAAGCTGAGATGTGCAGGCCAACAGTACAATTGAAAGCATCATCTGTAGAAGTGATTTATAATGAAATGTAGACTCAAACTATTGAGGCTGATGCCTGTTTTGACTAGCACTTTGAGCAAGCAATAGAAGAGGATTTATTGTCTGATCATGCAATAGTTACATTTCAGCAAGTTGAGGAAAAGAACAAGATAAAAGTGCAGAAAATCCAGATCAAAATTTTAGTGAGGAAGATATAAACATATTTCTGGAAAATGAAAGTGTAGCAGTTGTTCAGAGAGGTGGTCAGGATGCTAACAGTGCACATGTGCCATCAATCAACAAAGTTTTTGCTGATGAGAATGAAGCTTTTGACTTCTACAATGGTTATGCTTATATGGTTGGTTTCTCTACATGCAAAGCTAGCAATTACCATAGCAGAAAAACCGATGTTGTGACAAGGCACACGTTCAAATGCAACAGGTGGAGGAAACCAAGTGATCCAAAGGAGAAGGACTTACCTGAGGTTGATGAAGCTGAGAATTGTTTGCAAACAAACACAACAAATCCATTGGTAAAAAAGAGAAAACAGAACAAAGTGGTTTACACAAATTGCAAAGCTGAGATGGTGATAACATTGAAGAGGGGCTTTTGGTACATTACAAGGCTCAATCTAGAGCACAATCATCCGCTATCTCCACCAGAAGAAAGAAAATTCCTAAGGTCTCACAAACATATGACAGACCAGGAGAAACTTTTGATAAGAACTTTGAACAAAATCAATGTGCCCACAAGGATGATTATGTCTGTTTTGTCATATGTTAGGGGTGGCTTGTCTGCAGTTCCTTACACAAAAAAGGCTGTGAGCAATTATAGAGATTTTGTTAGAAGAGAAAGTGGGAAAAATGACATGATGCAATGTTTGGATTTTTTTGAGAAGAAAAGATCAGAGGATCCATTGTTTTATTTCAGATTCAGAACTGATGAGAACAATGTTGTGAAGAGTCTGTTTTGGTCCGATGGGAACAGCAGAAAATTTTATGAGATGTTTGGTGACATAGTTAGTTTTGACACGACGTACAAGACAAATAGGTATGATTTGCCCTTTGCTCCATTTGTAGGGATAACTAGTCATGGTGACAATTGCCTATTTGGTTATGCATTCCTACAAGATGAATCAAGTGAGACTTTTCAGTGGTTGTTCAATACGTTCCTTGATTGTATGGGTGGCAAGCTTCCTGCTACTATTATAACTGATCAAGACTTGGCAATGAAGGCTGCTATTGCCATAGTTTTTCCAGACACTGTTCATAGGAATTGCCTGTTCCATATGTTATCAAATGCAAGGGACAAAACAGGAAGGACATTCAATTCAGAGGATGAAGAAGTTTACAAGGATTTCCATGATATTGTTACAAAATCACAGACAGAGGCTGAATTTGAATATTTGTGGAAAGATTTCATAAGAAGGAATAATCTGTATAATGTTAGGTATTTTCAGCTTATATGGGTCACTAGAAAGAGATGGGCACTAGTTTACTTCAAAAGCAATTGGTGCCCTTTGATTCAGACAACAGCAAGGAGTGAGGGGACAAATTCAAGGTACAAAGCTGACATTTGTTCATCTCATAGTGTTTCTGCATTCCTAGCACAGTATGAAAGGATTGCAGAAACAATTTATGAGTGCTTCAAAGAACAAGAATCGCTGACTAGGAATACTGTTCCAGATACTTGGTCAGAATATCAATTTGAGAAGCAAGCTGCAAAACTGTATACTAGGAAGATATTTTGGGCATTTCAGCGTATCTTGCAAAGCTATACCAAGTATGATGTGACCGTGAAAGTGCGTGATTCTATTTTTGAGGTGTACAAATCAGAGATTCATGCACTACAGGATTTCAGAAAAAGGAAGTATATTGTGGTTGTTGATACTATATCTGAAGAATATGAATGTATCTGTTCAAGATTTAAGAAGGATGGTATTTTGTGTGTTCATGTGCTCAGAGTACTCATTCACTTGAACATAACAAAACTACCTGAGAAATATTTTATTGAAAGATGGAGGCTGAAAGACAAAAACCAAGAATTATCTGTGCCAAACACATTGATGTCTGCTACTGTTCTTGAAAGCAACCCTTTACTCAGGTTCAACATCTTGTCACAGAAAATGATTAAGTTGGCTTCTGATGCATCAAAAACAAAAGAAAAGTTTATATATGTGATGAATGAAAGTGACAAGATTGAAGATGGGTTGAAGGCAATGAGTGATACGGCTCCTAACAAGGCTACTGTTCATGTTCAGGATGCGGCGGCGACAACTTGTGGTGTAGCTTCTGTTGGTGCTCAAAGTGGTATATTGATGGGTCCTAGTGGTGTTGGTATTGATGCTGAGAGCACAAAGGGTGCGGTTGCTGAAACTGAAACAACAGATATGGTTGGAATTGCTTCTACTTCTGTTTTACTGGATCCAAAATGCTCTAATATCAAAGGCAGGCACAAGAGTGAGCCAAGAAAAAAGAGGCTGATAGATGTGATTAGAAGCAAGGGTTTGGTGACATGTAGTGGTTGTGGATCCCATGACCATAACATTCGCACTTGTCCCAAAAAAAAGAGAAGCCAAATGCAACAGAAGTGATGCAGGAGAGGAAATCTAGAGAACTTTAGGGACATAGAACTTTTTGGGTAGCAAAAAAGTGACTGGCCTATGTCTTATGAGTAGAAACATCAAGAAAAAAATGGCATTCCACATTATGTCTTTACCCCCCTTTTTGTTTGTTTTTTGGATGGTGCAAATACAATTACATGGTTAGCTTTGCAGGCATAACTGATTATTAAAAAGAAAAAAGAATTGCTTGTGTGAAAAATGGCGTACCGTAGTTTGTCTTCACTCCCTTCTGTTGTGTTTAACGTATATCTGTCCTCCCCCCACTCCCTACCCCCCCACCCCCCAAAAAAACAGTTGGACCTGCACACAGTTGAAAAGGAGAAAAAAGTGTCTCTCATCAGATATCTCTCATTAGTAAGACGATCAGTATCATGTAAAACACGATTAGTATCATGTAAAACACATAAAAGAAAAAAATACAGGTCCTTTTTTAATATTTGGGTGTTATGCGATTGGATTTATCATATCTAGTACAGGAATTAAGCTCCAGATAAGAGAACACGTAGCACACAATTTTGCTGAACATGTCCTAGAATTTAGAACTCAGCTGTAGTACATAGAACACAAGCAAGCACAAAAGTGTTTGTATATATAAGTGTATCTTATATTTGTGCACCAAAACAAAACTGAAACTGTATGTTACTAGATAGTATTTTTTTTTCAACAGGTTGAGGACTGACATAAACCCAAAAACTGCATGGGCTTGAAAAAAACAGAAAATGTGACATCTCTCTCTCTCTCTACCAGGTAGTGTGTGGCCCCATCTCATGGGCTATACAGAAAAAACAGGATTGTCTAATCTGTTGGTACAGAAACAAAAACATCTCACTGTTGCCTTGCATATTTTCCATGCTTTGTTGGATTGAAGCTTCTAGCTAGCATTTTTGCTTCTTCTTGTGAATTGTATTCTGAGAACAATAGGTCATTTGCAATTTGCTTCCTCATGTTTGGGATATATTCTGGTCTGATCATATCTTTCAAGTGCATCCTTGGGTTCCACCATTCCATGCACTTCATAGCGTAGATTCCGCAATCATGCCTTGATGAGACAAAAACAAAAATAAATCATTTAAGAAAAACAAAATCATGGAAAAAAAAAGGGAGGGGTTTTGGACAAAAAAGAAAATGATATGTAATTTGCGGATGATTGTTGGGTTGATAGGTAGTTCCCCATTGTTTTGGCGAGTAATTGGTTTGTTGGGTTGATAGGTAGTTCCCCATTGTTTTGGCGAGTAATTGGTGGGTATTGGATATCAAATTTACTAAAGTCTTTCTCCACATCTGAGAATTCTTCCCACATTGCAATGAATCCTGGTATCTGTGTATAAACAAGAGGAGCATGAAAAAAAACCAGAAAAAAATCAGTGGATGCGTCTATAAAAAAATTGTATGGAAAAAAAAGAACAAAATTTGTATAGCTCACCAATAGCCCTTGAATTTTCTTATGATATTTGCTATTTTCATCATAAATGGAGTCCAGGAAGATAAAGTGATGCCCCATGATGTCCACAGTAAACACAAACCAATGATTGTCATACAGACATGGGAAAATAAGCTACATAACATAAAAACCAAAGGGGCATCACTTTCTGTTAATCACACACACAAAAAAATGTACAAACCAAGTCATAGTAGTGCAGAGGTTTCTTGTTCCTGGCAAATGTAAAAGCTTGTCTTGCGCAATTTTCATAGTCTTCCTCTTTTCCAGCACCTTCCCAATTCTTCAAGAAATAAACCTGTGAAAAAAAAGGTAGGGAATTTTGAAGTGATACAACTGGAGATGAGAAAAAAAAATGTATGTGATAGAAAGTATGAAAAAAACACATACACTAGTTCTATGGAAGAAGTAAAAATTCCGGTATTCATTTTCTTTGTTATTCTGGTCGTTGGCAATCTTCTTGGCATAAGCGTTGAGGACATATGTATCCACCACTCCCCTTGGCGATAAAGATTTAGACAATGATGACCATGTGACTTTTACATTGTCCATCAGAACTGCAAATTTACTGTACCACAAATAAAGAAGATAAATGCTTTTAGTAATGCTTAGTTCTCTTAAGGCAGAAAGAGTACAAAACAAAAATAACGCTCTGTGTAGATGATAATTAATAGTGACTGTTGGCCTACCTATGAAGGGGATTAAGAACACACATGCAGTAGATTAATATCTCGTATGTTGAAAACAAAAAAAAATTGCTTCTCATAATTTAGAACTGACCATCAAAAACCTTCAGTCCCACACATTTTAGATCCACCGAACAGAGGCATTTATCTAAGTATATATCAAAAACAGAAAACACAGCACGCTTTGCAAAGAATTTTTTTTCCAATCCATAAAAAAACCCCATTTAAGCTAAATCTCCCAAATACACCGCTGCACTTAAAAATACTGCACCTATGTTTCAAAACAAACTGAAACCTAAAAAAGCAAAAGTAAAAAAATGGAACTGCATGCCACCAAACAAATCTGAACAAACATATCAGAAATATAAGCAACTATGCATATGTGCAAAATATTTTTACAACCTGAAACTATATCTACATTTCTGAAATATAAACATGTATTCTGCACCCAAAGTGACCTTGGTTTTGCTACTGCTGACACGCATTAGACTGAATTCATGCCTAATTATCTTCAGTTTGCCATAGTCTGAGATTTTAAATGTACATGTCGACTGAAACTGTGCAGTACCTTGTTCCCAAAATTCAAAAATTCAAATAGATTTACGATTGTGCAGCCGTGTGATCCACTGATCCCCTATCCCCAAATTCAAAAATACGCCAATTCAAACAGATTAACAATTGTGTAGCTGTGCAATCCCCTGTTCCCAAGTTAAGAAACAACGCCAACTCAAACGGATTTACGATTGTGCAACAATTAACAAGGAACAGAAACACAAAACAGAAGAAAAGCAGCAGGTGAATCAACAGCCATAATTTCTCAAAAAGCAACAGGAGCCAAGTATTTGCTTGCTGCTAACTCATTTGAATCAGCACAGAAGAATTCAGAACATGTGCAGAAACAGAATCTAAAAAAAGCAAATGTAAAAAAGCAACCATTATAATGTTGTTTTGTGACACTTACTATTTATATTGTTGCGTCTCACCAATGCTGAGTATGTTGTTGTAGTGATTGAGTTCAGCTGCCGAGATTGTTTGGTGCCGTGTGTAGTTGTCATATGGTGAGCTCTTGTATTTACTTGGATGTACAATTCTTTTAGGGCGATAAAGATTGTGTCTAGTACCAGAACAGTTGCCAGAAGCATTTAGTGAGTCGATGATTCTTGTCATTGAATATTGTCTTTCTTCTGTTTGAACATGTTGATTTGGTTCCCTCATTTGTGCTATTCTTGGAGAATTCATACCTATATCAGGTGATGATTGTGAACTCTGCATTAAAAAATAAAACAAGTGAAAAATGGGAAAAAACAGAATTTATTGTAATAATGTTTAAGAGTATAAGACATAGTTTTATGTCATGCTGATTGAAAAAAATTAAGCAAAAAATTGAGAGGAAAGTACTTACAATTTGTATTACTTTTTTTGTAGCAGGTGTTCTTGCAGAAGCAATGTTTATGTGCAGTGGTGTTTGAGGGCTACTTTGCTCATTGTTTATTTGTGTTTGCTGCGAGGATGAAATTGTCCAATAAGGAGCATACCCAAAAAAAGGGTTGATGTTTGAAAAAAAAAGGACAAGTAAAAAAAATCAGAGGTTATTACCGCACGTTGTTCAACCATATCGATGTTATCTGATGGTTCCTCTTCATATAAGAATTCTGCAAAGTCATCTTGGTACTCGTTTTCATCACAGTGTTGTCCCTCAAGCCTCCTATTCCCCATGTTTGCAGTGAAGTTTGCTAACAAAAAATCATCCACATAAAAAATAAAAAAAAGTAACAAGAAAAAACATCTAACATGATTGTGCAAAATATAAATTTGGCTAGATAATCTTTTTATTTTTTCTAGACATTTTGATTCCCCCCCCTGATTGTTACTACTTACGTCTATAAAAGAAATTAATTATAGTACAAAAAAAATAATTTTATGTGTATAGAGAAAAAGGGTCAAAGTTGTACCTGATAAATGTTGAACTCCATCTTTATTGTTTATGCATGTTTTGGGTGTGTGCATGTACCTCTCCCCCTGCGTCACCTGCATGCTGCTATGTTCAATGTCCATGATGTTTGTGCCTGATGTTGTTTGGGACAAGAAGTGTCCAAGGCTGGCACTTTTGTTTGTTTTTGATTTATCATCAAAATGATGTAAGCATTCAAATTTGGGTTGCTGTTTGTGAGTTACATGAGAAGAAATTAAAAAGTTACAAATCAGGATAGATAAAAAAAATAAGGTACATTTTTTGTACATTAAAGTGCAACACAGATAAAAAAAATGTTAGTTTATCAGTCAATCAATGCTGCAAAAATTTACAGGATTAAAATAAAAAACAATAAAACAAATCAGTAAACAGTACTGGTAGAAAAAAAAAGTGACAAACCAAAATTTTATTACATGTGGAGTTTAGATTTTGTTCTTGATGTGTATAAGATAAGACGACACTGTAAATTAAAAGATGACCCAAAAAATAAAAGTGATTTAGAAAACACCTCTATGCTCTAGTTTCATCTGTTCTCTAAAATTTGAACTCTACATAGGCACAGCAGTCTATCGTTTTGTGTATAGAGGTGTTTTCTAAAAACAATGTCTATCTGCTTCTAAAAAATTCATCCACACATATATAATATGTACAAAACAAAAATATGGATCAGTGTACAATGCAAAACAAACATTATATAAAAAAAATAGAGGCGTATAATACACAAAAAAAAGAGAAAGTGAGAAAAAAAGCAGTTTGTTGCTCACAAAACAAACACTAAAAAAACAAAGAAATACTAGTGCTTTAAAATGCATGATATATGTTTGATACATTTGTGCTCTTGTGTGGAATGTTGTCTGATTCATCTTGTGTAGGA